GGAGGATGGCAGGGCTGGGTGTGGTGGCCTATTAAGGGAATAGACAGGATAATTGAACTTCGACTTAGTAATTATATATCATCCACACAAGCTGATCTGCAGGCCATTCTGGCTTGTTTGGAGGAAGTACGTCAAGACGACAAAGATGTTTTTGTATTTGTCGATAGCCGAGGAGCACTTGAGTCCTTAAACAGTCGAAATCCAATCTTCATGTCCACAGTTGAGGATTGTAAGAAAAGGATAAATGAGATATAGCTGAAAGGTCACAAAAGTAAAATTCATGTGGATTCTATCTCATGTTGGAATAGTGCTCAACGAAGTGGCGGACTTGGCCACTGGAGGTGGCGGACTTGGCCACTGGAGGTGGCGGACTTGGCCACTGGAGGTGGCGGACTTGGCCAAACATGCCACATCAAAACTTGCGGGGCCTGCGGGCCGCTGCAAGCAACAGGTTTTTAGACCAAGTTATCCCAAGACAAGGCTGGACTCGAGCCGGACTCTTGAGTAAAGGTTTACTCCACGTATCCACGAGGTATACATAATACTACCCTTTCGTTATCCTACCTTACCTTGAGGCTACCTTGAGGTGCTTCCGGGGCTTAGTGTCCCCGCGGCCCGGTCGTCGACCAGGCCTCCTGGTTGCTGGACTGATCAACCAGGCTGTTAGACGCGGCTGCTCGCAGCCTGACGTATGAGTCACAGCCTGGTTGATCAGGTATCCTTTGGAGGTGCTTATCCAGTTCTCTCTTGAACACTGTGAGGGGTTTGCCAGTTTTGCCCCTTATGTGTAGTGGAAGCGTGTTGAACAGTCTCGGGCCTCTGATGTTGATAGAGTTCTCTCTCAGAGTACCTGTTGCACCTCTGCTTTTCAACGGGGGTATTCTGCACATCCTGCCATGTCTTCTGGTCTCATGTGGTGTTATTTCTGTGTGCAGGTTTGGGACCAGCCCCTCAATTATTTTCCACGTGTAAATTATTATGTATCTCTCCCGCCTGCGCTCAAGGGAGTACAGATTTAGGCTCTTTAGTCGGTCCCAGTAATTTAGATGTTTTACTGAGTGGATTCTAGCAGTAAAGGATCTCTGCACGCTCTCTAGGTCAGCAATTTCTCCAGCTTTGAAAGGGGCTGTCATTGTGCAGCAGTACTCCACTCTAGATAGCACAAGCGTTTTGAAAAGTATCATCATCGGTATAGCATCTCTAGTGTGAAAAGTTCTTGTTATCCAACCTGTCATTTTTCTTGCAGTTGTGACGGCTACTTTATTGTGTTCTTTAAAGGTAAGGTCTTCCGACATGAGTACACCCAGGTCCTTTACATTGCCTTTTCGTTCTATGTTATGATTTGCCTGCGTTTTGTACGTGGTTCCTGTTTTTATGTTTTCAATTTTTCCGTAGCGCATGAGCTGAAACTTATCCTCGTTGAATACCATATTATTTTCTGTAGCCCATAGAAAGACCTGATCAACATCTGATTGGAGGTTTGCCGTGTCCTCTATGTTGCCAACTCTCATGAAAATCCTAGTGTCATCTGCAAAGGATGATACAGTGCTATAGGTTGTGTTCTGGTCTATGTCCGATATGAGGATGAGAAAAAGTACTGGAGCAAGCACAGTACCCTGGGGGACTGAGCTCTTCACGGTTGATGGGCTGGATTTTATTTTGTTGACTATTACACATTGGGTTCTGTCAGTCAGGAAATTGTAGATCCATCTGCCTATTTTCCCGGTAATTCCTTTTGAACGCATTTTATGTGCAATAACACCATGGTCACATTTATCAAAAGCTTTTGCGAAATCTGTGTAAATTACATCAGCGTTTTGTTTGTCTTCCATAGCATCTAATGCCATATCATAGTGGTCCAGCAACTGCGACAGGCAAGAGCGCCCTGTTCTGAAACCATGTTGTCCGGGGTTATGGAGATGCTGTGATTCCATGTATTTTGTGATCTTACTTCTTAGCACTCTCTCAAAAATTTTTATGATGTGCGATGTTAGTGCTATCGGTCTGTAATTTTTTGCCTCTGCCTTATTTCCTCCTTTATGGAGTGGTGCTATCTCTGCTGTTTTTAGTATGTCAGGGATAACGCCAGTATCTAGGCTTTGTCTCCACAGAATGTGAAGGGCCTGCGATAGTGGTTTTTTACAGTTCTGGATGAATATGGAGTTCCAAGAATCCGGGCCTGGTGCAGAGTGCATAGGCATACTGTTTATGGCTTCTTCAAAATCTAGTGGGGATAGGGCGACGTCTGATATGTGATTTGATGTTGGTATCATATCCATGAAAAATTCATTTGGGTTATCAATCTTTAGTGCATTTAATGGCTCACTGAAAACAGAGTCGTACTGCTTCCTCAGTAACTCGCTCATTTCTTTGTTGTCATCTGTGAAAGTTCCATCTCCCTTTCGCAGGGGCCCGATACTAGATGTGGTTTTTGATCTTGATTTTGCATAGGAGAAAAAATATTTCGGATTTCTCTCTATTTCACTGATGGCCTTTTGCTCTCTTTGCCTCTCCTGGGTTTTGTATGATTCTTGTAGCTTGAGTTCAATTGTTTCTATTTCTCTACCTAACCTTCTTCGCCGTTCTTGAGATAGGGTGCGACTCTCAAGTTGTTCCGCGATTCGTTTTCTTCGCCTATATAAGGAACGACGTTCCCGTTCCAATCTGCATCTCTTTCTCTTTTTTCTTAGGGGTATGCGGTTTGAACATATTTCTAGTGCTACTGAGCTTATTTTTTCCAGGCACTGGTTCAGGTTTGCATTTCCTAGCTGTTCTTCTCAGTTTATTTCTGTGAAGTCCTGGTTTATTTGCTCCCAGTTTATCCGTTTATTATTGAAGTTGAATTTGCTGAAATCTCCTCCACCGGGAATCTGGACTGGTTTTGGAGGTCCATTCCCCATGGTTGTCAGTACCTCAATTAAGTTGTGATCTGAGTAACAGGTATTTGTAATCATTTTGTTCCCGATCAACTCATCATTATTAGTGAAAATGAGGTCCAGCGTGTTCTCCTTCCTAGTTGGTTCTACTATTTGCTGGTTTAAGGCAAACCTATCGCACATCCGTAGCAGGTCATTTGCATGTGCCTGCTCATTTAGGCTACTTCCTGGTATTCTTTCTGATATTACTGTATTAGCCAGGTGCTTCCATTTCAGGTGCCGTAGGTTGAAGTCCCCAAGCAGGATGATGTTCGGAGCTGGATTTGTGAGGTTTTCCAAGCAGTGCTCTATTTTCATTAGTTGGTCTTTAAACTGCTGAGGGTTTGCCTCCGGTGACTTATATACAAGGACAACAACTACATTTAGGATCTCTATTTTGACTATCAGCACTTCCACCATATCATTTGAGGTGTTTAGCAGCTCAGTACAGATGAGTGTGTCTTTGATGTAGAGGCTGACCCCACCCTGAAGCCGGTGTTTCCTATCACATCTGAAGAGATTGTATTCTGGGATCCATATTTCACCATCAAGGTAGTCCTTTGTGTGAGTTTCCGTTAGGGCTGCAAACACTGCATTTGCCTCATGAAGGAGACCATCTATAAAATGAACTTTGTTGGATTTGCGTGTTTTTATACCCTGGATGTTGGCAAATATAAATGATGTTATCGTGTTAGTGGAAGTGCTGGATGCTTTAATTGGTGTTAATATCTGAGGCTCTGGTAAGGAGGCCACTGTGTTTGCGTCCTCTCTAGCATTTGACCGAGTTGGTGGTAGAGTCTGGTCATTTTTAGCCATTCTTCTCCTCCTCCTCTTGCTAAAAAATTATCCCGGTTGATGGAGTAGTGGCTGTTTTCATAGTGGTAGTCTGTCGGTTTTATTCGCCTGGTACCTCTTATATGAAAAGCTGGGCATTCAGCATTGAAGCACTCTTTCCTGTCCAAAGAGTTCTTGCAAATTTCTGGGTGAAAGAATTCACAGCTTTTGGTACATTTACCTGTATTGAGGAGGTTTCTGCACTTTCTAGGGTGATTGTGTGTACATGTTCCATTTATTCTTCCCGATTCCCCATGCTTACAGGTAGCCCATCTGTAATACCAACAGATTTTGGGGCCTTGTTTTGTTTGTTTCCCTCTGCCAGGGACCGCACTCTGCTGCGGCGCCCCCGACACTGTGCTCTGCTCCGGTGCCTGTGACACCGCGCTCTGCTCCGGTGCCTGCGACACCGCGCACTGCTCAGGGGTCCCCGACTCCGTGCCCTGCTCAGGCATCCCCGACTCCGCGCCCTGCTCAGGCATCCCCGACTCCGCGCCCTGCTCAGGCATCCCCGACTCCGTGCCCTGCTCAGGCATCCCCGACTCCGCGCCCTGCTCAGGCATCCCCGACTCCGTGCCCTGCTCAGGCATCCCCGACTCCGCGCCCTGCTCAGGCGCCGCTGCCACAGAGCTCTGTGCTACAGCTGGTTGTACCTTGGTGTCATGTACAGTTTGTTTGAAGACATTAGAAATTGCTATGCAGGCATTAATTAGTAATTCTCTGTTTTCGGCGGGAGTTTTATCCAGGATTTCCATCAATTTCAAAAAAGTTACATCATCCTTTTTGCTGAGCCAGTACACAGAGTGGTCACTGGGACCATTTCTCCTTGAATTGTTAGTCATGTTGGCACATTTTTTGTGTATGGCTGCTGAACAGAGTTGGCATTGAAAACTCTGTTGGTAATCTACCTTCATGTTGCATTCTATGCACGTTTTTATCAAAGCCATTTTTTTTAACACTTCTGTTCAGTGGTGATGGTCTTACAATCATCCTGTACGTTGTTAACCCAATTTTCGTGCTTTACTTCCCCACTTACCCCTCACCCCACTTCCCCTTCTTTCCCCTCATCTTCCCTCTTACCTTACTCTGAATCTCCCCTTTCCTTCAAGGTCACGAATTTATGTAAGGGTCCTCAACAGCCTGAAGTATCGTCACTTTCAATTCTTTTTTTTCATTTTCACTTAAATTTTTTTACATTTTCACTTGAGGATAACTGCTGTAAGCTAATCAACCTTTCCTTTGTTCAAACAGAGGAGCTGTCCGGCATCTTCGTCAAGTCCATCAACATCGGAAGTGCTGCCGACAGGACCGGACTCATCCAGGTCAACGACCAGATTGTACAGGTGAGCCCCAAGCCCTTGTACAGGTGTGTGAGCCCCAAGCCCTTGTACAGGTGTGTGAGCCCCAAGCCCTTGTACAGGTGTGTGAGCCCCAAGCCCTTGTACAGGTGTGTGAGCCCCAAGCCCTTGTACAGGTGTGTGAACTGGGTGTTGTACAGGTAAGATGAGATTGATGTTCAGGTGAAAAGAGGAGATTTGTCGAACAAATCCACAAGGGCCGTGACGAGGATTCGAACCTGCGTCCGGGAGCATCCCAGACACTGCCTTAATCGACTGAGCTACGACAGGGTTAGGAGATTAGTCCTAGAGATACCTTGAGGTACCCACCTCAGGGTATCCTCAAGGTAGGTAGGTATGTCGTGGTCATGTCTCAGGTCAGTGGGACCATCCTGGTCGTGTCTCAGGTCCGTGGGACCATCCTGGTGGTGTCTCAGGTCAGTGGGACCATCCTGGTCGTGTCTCAGGTCAGTGGGACCATCCTGGTCGTGTCTCAGGTCAGTGGGACCATCCTGGTCGTGTCTCAGGTCAGTGGGACCATCCTGGTCGTGTCTCAGGTCCGTGGGACCATCCTGGTCGTGTCTCAGGTCAGTGGGACCATCCTGGTCGTGTCTCAGGTCAGTGGGACCATCCTGGTCGTGTCTCAGGTCAGTGGGACCATCCTGGTCGTGTCTCAGGTCAGTGGGACCATCCTGGTCGTGTCTCAGGTCAGTGGGACCATCCTGGTCGTGTCTCAGGTCAGTGGGACCATCCTGGTCGTGTCTCAGGTCAGTGGGACCATCCTGGTCGTGTCTCAGGTCAGTGGGACCATCCTGGTCGTGTCTCAGGTCAGTGGGACCATCCTGGTCGTGTCTCAGGTCAGTGGGACCATCCTGGTCGTGTCTCAGGTCAGTGGAACCATCCTGGTCGTGTCTCAGGTCAGTGGGACCATCCTGGTCGTGTCTCAGGTCAGTGGGACCATCCAGGTCGTGTCTCAGGTCAGTGGGACCATCCTGGTCGTGTCTCAGGTCAGTGGGACCATCCTGGTCGTGTCTCAGGTCAGTGGGACCATCCTGGTCGTGTCTCAGGTCAGTGGGACCATCCTGGTCGTGTCTCAGGTCAGTGCGACCTTCCTGGTCGTGTCTCAGGTCAGTGGGACCATCCTGGTCGTGTCTCAGGTCAGTGCGACCTTCCTGGTCGTGTCTCAGGTCAGTGGGACCATCCTGGTCGTGTCTCAGGTCAGTGGGACCATCCTAGTCGTGTCTCAGGTCAGTGGGATCATCCTAGTCGTGCATGATGCCAGTGGCTTCATCCTGGTCGTTCGATATGTCATTGGATTCTTCCTGGTCGTGTCGGATATCAGTAGAACCCTTCCTGGTTTTTCGATGTCCCTTGTTCGACGTCCCTTGGTCGACGTCACAGTATTTGACGTTGGTGTGGTGTGACATCCTTGAGAGCGCCACATTTCAGGGCGTTCGAATTTCTCCTTCGATTTTTTTCTGTTTTCTGGCAAATTGTAAGAATTCTTCTCTAGTAATCATTTCTGTACTGAACCATTTATCCAAATAGGGTGGATTAATTTTCGGGATTGGTGGATTACTTATTGTGTGTGGGCTGATGATTAGTGTTTTTAGAGAGATGGAGAGAGATGGAGATATAGAGAGATAGATATATAGATATAGATATAGATATAGATATAGATAGATAGATATAGATAGATAGATATAGATAGATAGATATAGATAGATAGATATAGATAGATATATATTGTGTTCACTACCCAAGTGGAAGGAGCCGTGATTGTAAAGAGTGGACGAGAAATTAAGAAATGGAACGAAGAATATATATATATATATATATATATATATATATATATATATATATATATATATATATATATATATATATATATATATATATATATATATATATATATAATATTTGAGAAACTGGATATGTGGAGGCTGTAAGAGGAGTAGGGAAGCACAAAACACACTTGTCATCAGCTCGTGTGAAGTGTTTGCGATGTGGGTGACCCAAGAGTGCCTCTCATCCAGCCCTCACTGACGTATAGTGCCCAACTGGCACTTACTGGTGTCAGATGTAGTGCCGCATGGTGTCGGGGGGGGGGGGCTATAGGTTGTAAGGCTTTTCAATTATTGGGGCTAGCCGATGCTATTCTGCTGCGTCAAGAATATTGGCGAATATCCGTCAAGAATATTGAATATCGACGGAATATTCGGTTTTGTTGACCAGACCTCACACTAGAAGTTGAAGGGACGACGACGTTTCGGTCCGTCCTGGACCATTCTCAAGTCGAATATTCGCTTGGTGTCAGCCGCGGTGCCACGCAGTGTCAGACTTCCTGGTGCCAAACACACTGGCACGGCGGAGAAAGGGAAGGGAACTATCAGGGAGAAAGCACCAAGCCATTGCGATTATATAGCACAAGGAAAGGGTCAGGATAAGGATTTGGGATGGGACGGGGGGGAAAGGAATGGTGCCCAACCACTTGTGGACGGTCGGGGATGGTTATAACTCGGTGAGAATGGCCCGTTCCCCCTTTCTGCCCTCTTCCTCCCCTCTTCCTCTCCCTCTTCCTTCCTGTGAGTCTTTTGTATAGCAAGAAAGGGGGGTGCTAGAGTTCTCGAACCAGAAGAGGGACGGAGGCAGAGACGAAGAATAGGAGGTAAGATTCAGGTGGAGAGGAAGAATAGATGATGTGTGGAAGTCAAGGAGAGACAGAATAATGAAATAACGTATGAATCAAGGAATGAAGGTGAGGGAAAGGAAGGACAAACGAAGGAAATATAGTGAAAAGACAACAGGAACGAGATGACGAAGGAAGGAGAGACATAGACGAGGATAAAGATGAAGGCACTAAGAATGCACACTAAGAAGAGGAAAGAAAGCATTAAATAATGTTCATTGTGTGTTTGTAATGCATAATTTAATTGCATTAAAGTTCAATCTTCAAACCTTTATTTATTTCGGGGTCAATCGACATCTATTGTGATCTATATCTGGGTCAATCGACAGCTATTGTGATCTTTATCTGAGTCAATCGACATCTATTGTAATCTATATCGGGGTCAATCGACATCTTTTGTGATCAATATCTGGGTCAATCGACATCTATTGGCATCTATTCCTTCTTTCCCTCTCACCTTTCCCGTCTTTTGTTCTTCAGAAAGAAAGCAAAGGCGTGAAAGTAAGATATCTGGCAAATTAAGATATCTGAAGATGGGGAGAGTTAACCTCAATGTCTGCATAAGCAAAGGGTTGAATAGGATGTAAGATGCGATAATAATTAAGAGGAGGAGGGAGTCTTGTAGGAAGGAAGGGATTAAAGAATGGAGAGAGAGGCAAGGGAGGGAGGGAAGGAGGATGATTACGATAGTGGAGAGATAGTGAGAGGAATGATTGGATTCATTACGAGAGGGGGATGAAATCGCAATTAAATCGCAGTTGAAAAGTGAAGGAGAAATTTTATCTAGGTACCGAATGAGGAGAGAGACAGAGTTGGAGATCAATGGTAATGTAGCACTAATTAAAATTTATTCCTAATGAAAAATAGTAATGACCTCATTAAATAAATGAGTTTCAAGGGTCAGGCGGCAAATGAGCTGATATTTACCAAAAAAGTAGAGGAGGAGGAGGAGACAGCACAAGAGGGAGGGAGGGGGGAAGAGAGGTGGGAATGGATAAAAGAGGAAGACAAATGGTGGAACATCTAGAGGTAATCAGACTGCAAGATACAGCCAGACAGATAGACTTACGCAGCTGGATGCTGGGGATCAGATAACGGAAGTCGTCTCAAAGAGAACAGGTAAGAGAGAAGACTTGAGTAATTACAGTGAGGAATTTTGGAGGTTTGGTGAGGAGGGTTGGGGGTGAGTGTTGTTGATAGAGGGGGGGGTTGGGGGAGTTTTGGGAGGTGGGGTGGATGACGTAGGGGGGATGGGTGTGGAACGGCAGATCAAAGGGACGGAAGCTTAGGGGAATTAATTGTTAATTGGGTTAGGGAGGGGCAGCCTTATGTATGTTTTGATGAAGGGAAAGTCAGGTGGGGGGTTGTGGGGTTATAGGGAGGTGGGAGTTGTGGGGGGAGGGGGGGGGGAGTTGTACTTCTAGGGGTAGGGGAGGGATAGTTGTGTGTTTTTGTTTGTAGGGAGAGTTTATATAGTGTCTGTCCGCCCATAATTGGAGGTTAGACGCACGGGATAGGTTCGTCTAACCTTTCAAGACGACAAATAGGAGCAGTGTGTGTGTCATAGGTCAGTCGGGGTCCGCCTCAGTGCCTCAATTTAAGAAATATCCACACCCACATTGACCCCTTTTGAGATATTGATGTCTTTAGTTTTAGAGCAGTTTTTCATCTCATAATATTACATTTTCCGAAAGCGAACGAGAGAGAGAGAGAGAGAGAGAGGAGAGAGAGAGAGAGAGAGAGAGAGAGAGAGAGAGAGAGAGAGAGAGAGAGAGAGAGAGAGAGAGAGAGAGAGAGAGAGAGAGAGAGAGCAGAAATAAATTGGTGGCGTTTCCTTTCACCTCATGACTCAATTCACCTAGCAGTAAATTAGTAGTTAGTTTCTGGGTGCTGCGTCCTGGGAATGGTCAATAGTTGACCGACTAGTTGCACGCTCGCTCGCTCGCTCGCCTAGTGAGGATTGACTGGGAACCAGTCGATAACCGTTCACTCCCTGTTCACCCAGCAGTATACATTAGGGACCTGGGAATAAAACTGACGGGTTGTGTTTCAGGGAGAACTAGTGAGGAAGGCTCGTCATGTGCTACGGCTACGTAGCACTACGGCTCAAGTAGCTACGGGAAGGGAGGCTCCCAGTCTGCTAGCAGGAGTCAGAAGTTAATGTTCCTGTAGCTATACTGTTCTCCGTGAATCCCTTCCTTTCCCCATCTTTTTTCCTTTCCACCCCTTCCCCTACAAACACCTTCCCATTCTTCCCTTCCCCTCCTCCCCTGAACCCCCACCCTCCCCCTTCCAACTATGTGTTCCTAGATATCCAGTTCGAAGTGCCAGATCTAGTTCGAAGAACTTCATTTTTATGCGTTTCCTTTGCAGGTTGATGGCCAGTCTCTCTCCGGGCTGAGTAACCACGCCGCTGTGGACGTGCTGCGGGCCACGGGCCAGGTGGTCCGGCTCCGGCTGGCCCGCTACCTTAGGGGCCCCAAGTACGAACAGCTCCAGCAGGCCATCGCGAACTCCGAACTCAAGACCACACCCACCACCCCGAACCCTCCCAGAGCGCCGGTGGGTAACTTCGCTGTTGTGCAGAGTTGTAGTCGAAGTCTTTATTTTGTGGGGCTCTTGTTAGATGGCCGTGTGCTAGTCTGGTTGTTTGGTGATTAGGTGCTGGTTACTTGCTCCTTGACGACTGCTCCAAAAGTCCGTTGTTGTTGTTGTTGTTATAGATTCAGCTACTCGGAACAAGTTCCAAGTAGCACGGGCTATGGTGAGCCCGTAACTTACCTGGCACAGGAGCGGGGCAAGTAGCACGGGCTATGGTGAGACCGTAGTGGACTTACCTGGCACAGGAGCGGGGCAAGTAGCACGGGCTATGGTGAGACCGTAGTGGACTTACCTGGCACAGGAGCGGGGCAAATAGCACGGGCTATGGTGAGACCGTAGTGGACTTACCTGGCACAGGAGTGGTGCCGTTCCAAAGTCCGTGTTCAGAGGTAGTTTTGGACTTAATTGGACGCGAGGTGAACGATGGTGGGGAGGGGGTGAGGTGGGACTGGGGAGGGAGGAGTAGGGGGGGTCAAGCCCCACCAAGCAGAGCCCCTCCCCCCTCCCTCTCCGTGCCCTCAGTTCAACGGCGCTGTAAATTTTCTGGTGTTCCAGTTGAAAATTTCCTCCATTTGTCGACGTCACGATCGCGGGGGATATTCGTGTCTGTATATCACGGCTTGGGTAAGTGGGCCACGACCCTTTCTTATTCTTATCTCCCATTTCTGATTCTCCTTTCCCTTTTTTCACCTTATCCTCAGCTTCTTCTCCCCTTTTCTCTTCCCCTTTTCTCTTCCCCTTTTCTCTTCCCCCTTTCTCTTCCCCCTTTCTCTTCCCCCTTTCTCTTCCCCTTTTCTCCTGTTTTCTTTCTATTTTTCATCTTCTGATCTTCCTTTTCTTCACTTTTCGCTCATCTCATGCCACCGTTTCTTCCATTTCATTTCAATTTGTTTGTTCATTATTCTGCTTCTTCCTTTTTCTTTTCTTACTTTGTCTATTAATTCCATTCCTTCCGTTTTTTCAGTTTCTTCCTTTTTCATTAGTTAATTTATTCTTTATTACTATTTTTTTAGATTTTTAGTATAGTTTTCCTTCTCTATTAGATGCATATATATATATATATATATATATATATATATATATATATATATATATATATATATATATATATATATATATATATAATAATGGCTTCATTAGCAGGAAAGGCACAGAGGGGACCTAGTCATTAGACTAAAAAGGTTAAGTTGGAGTTTTGAACCACCTCTCTCACCTCTCATGTCTCACCTCCCACCTCTCATCTCTCACCTCTCATCTCTCACTCTCCCATCTCTCACTCTCCCCTCCATCTTCCCCCCGTCTTTCTCCCTCACCTCTCCTCTCACTGTTTCTATGGAGCCACGTTGGAAAGAGAGAGTTAATTGTTTTCGTCTGTGGACATCAAAGTTAGGACAATATGTTATGGGAGGCAAGATTTTTAATGATTTTTTTTCTGCCGAAAGGCACATTGTATTGTGTGTGGTGTGAGGACGGGCACACACACACACGTGTAAGAAACAGGATGAAAAATTCAGTGACTGCTATCATTATTATAACCAATTGAATGATACCACCATTGTGATAACTAGCTGCATAACGGGAAATACCCGTGACATGCATTTCTCTCTCTCTCTCTCTCTCTCTCTCTCTCTCTCTCTCTCTCTCGCGCTCTCGCGCGTTCTCTCGCTCTGGCTCTCGCTCTCTCGCTCTCTCGTTCGTTCGCTATCTCGCTCTCTCGTTCGTTCGCTCTCTCTCTCGCTCGCTCTCTCTCTCGCTCTCTCTCTCGCTCGCTCTCTCGCTCGCTCTCTCGCTCTCTCGCTCGCTCTCTCGCTCGCTCTCTCGCTCGCTCTCTCGCTCTCTCGCTCGCTCTCTCGCTCTCTCTTGCTCTCTCTCTCGCTCTATGTCTTTTTCCCCTTCACACACATCACTAGGAAGCAGTCACATCATTTTTATAACTACCAAGTACCTATTTAGTGCTAGGTGAATAGACCCTCAGGTGAAAAAAAAACTGGCCATTTGTTTCTGCCTTGACCGGGAATCAAACCCGGGCCCTTAAGACTGCGACCCCCCCCCCCCCGCAGCTCCACGCCTCGCAGCGCGGTCAACTGTGTGTGTGTGTGGGGGGGAGGGGGGCAGAGAAATAACATTGTTAGAAATAAATGTACAAATAAAGGTCAAAGGTCAACTGTTCGAGGAGTCTCTCTCTCTCTCTTTTAACTAAGGTTCATAAGGGCTGTCAAATGACGCACCTAGTGAAACTGCAAGCCAGAGCTGTTATCCTGCCTCAGCTCATCTGAAGCTTGCTCCTAGAAACTCACTTATTTCATAAGAATGTACTTTGAAAATAACACGGGGAACTGTCATATAAGGAACCTGGTGAAACTGCAAGCAAGAGCTGTAATCCTGCTTCAGTTAAGTTGAAACCTACTCGTAGAGTCCCATTTATTTCATGAGTTTGTTATAGGCATCAGTAGGAATAGCATTTATTCATTAACAACATTAGGTAACAGTCATATAAGGAATAGGACGAGCGTGTAGCCAGTTGTGTGTCAGTCTTTATGTGATCAATTGACCTGATCTCCCGTGTATCAACCTGTTAGGAGAACAAATTCCAGATGCGAGTCAGCCTCGGAGTGAATGGTTGCTGATGGAGTGATGTTCTTGAGAATGGCACTTCTAGCATGAGACTGTTGAAGGTTGAGAGCCTAGTGTTACGGGTGGGAACTACTGGTAGTCCACGGAGTTGGGCCAGGTGCGGAACTTTGAGGATGTTGGCCTTGTACATAACAGTAAGACCAACAACGTCACGACGGTGTTGCAGGCTCTGATGTTCAGACTGTTCCCACCAGACTTGGTCAAGACTAGAGATAAACCTTCTTGCATCTCTCTACTTTGTCCAACACTGATGAATGACGGGACGGGGGGGGTCAGGCCTTTTCCCTCTTTCAGGAGAGGGGTGCATACTCCAGGTGAGAGCGAACTTGTGCTTCATATAAGGTTTTGCATCCCTTGCTGTTATGAAGGTGTGAGATGCGCCATGGAGCTGTAAGTTTCCTAGCTGCCTTGTGGGCTAGGTATAGGCACGTGGCTCTTCATTGTCACTGTAGAGTCGGACTCCATTCCCAAGATGTCAATTTCATCTGTGAACTCTAGGGATTTGCCGCCCATTTGCAGTTCCGTCCGATTCGCCATGTGCAGTCTAGTTATCATCGCTTGTATCTTCTCAGCCGCAAATGTGACCTGCCATCTCCTACCCCAGGTAGAAATTGCTGAAAGTTTGTGATTAATGATTCTTGCAGCAGTTAGCATTTCCTCCTTTTTGTATGTAAAGGTTAGAGTACAGTTATCAGCATAGGCTTGAGCTTCAGGAATGAGATGAAGAAGATCGTTGAAATAAACATTCCACGGCAGAGGGCCAAGCACACTACCCTGTGGAACGCTGCCACCAATTGAGTGGCTATCGGATTCTGTTCCATTGAGGACTACCCTTAGAGTCCGTTCTTGAAGGTAGTCTCTTATTATCTCTAAGATGGAGCCTGATATGCCTAGTGCTTGAAGCTTCACTACTATCCAGAGTGCCAGACCCGATCAAAGGCTCCTGCTATATCTAGAGCAACAACACAGCTGATCTTGGACTCATCCAGTGACTGATGCCACTTAGTGGAGAGATTTAGCAAGAGATCAGCAGCAGATCGGCCTTTTCTAAAACCATACTGTCGATCACAAATTACCCGATGATGGTCAACAAAATATATCATTTGCTGACCGATTAATGATTCTAGGATCTTGCCAGTAATGGAGAGCAGTGACACAGGTCTGTAGTTACCAGCCACTGAGCGGTGGCTCATTTTGTGCACTGGAACGTCTGCCGTCTTCCATAAGGAGGGCCACCTTCCTTGAGCCAGGCAGAGTTGGAAGAGGCGCGTGAGAGGTGGAGCCAACAGGTCAGCGCAGCTGCGTGGTAGTCTTGGACTGACCTTATCTGGTCCCACAGCTTTGGTTGTGTCTAGCGTGTTAAGGAGATGGAGAATTTCAGCCTGCTGTATAACTACGGGCTTAGCGTTCCCGCGGCCCGGTCGTTGACCAGGCCTCCTCGTTGCTGGACTGGTCAACCAGGCTGTTGGACGCGACTGCTTGCAGCCTGACGTATGAGTCACAGCCTGGTTGATCAGGTATCCTTTGGAAGTGTTGGTCAAGTTCTCTCTTGAACACTGTGAGGGGTCGGCCAGTTATGCCCCTTGTGTAGTGGAAGCGTGTTGAACAGTCTCGGGCCTCTGATGTTGATAGAGTTCTCTCAGAGTACCTGTTGCACCTCTGCTTTTCAATGGCGATATTCTGCACATCCTGCCATGCCTCCTGGTCTCATGTGGTGTTATTTCTGTGTGCAGGTTTGGGACCAGCCCCTCTACTATTTTCCACGTGTAAATTATTATGTATCTCTCCCGCCTGCGCTCAAGAGAATACAGATTTAGGCATTTTAGTCGGTCCCAGTAGTTTAGATGTTTTACTGAGTGGATTCTAGCAGTAAAGGATCTCTGCACGCTCTCCAGGTCAGCAATTTCTCCAGCTTTGAAAGGGGCTGTCATTGTGCAGCAGTATTCCACTCTAGAGAGCACTAGCGTCTTGAAGAGTATCATCATTGGTATAGCATCTCTAGTTTGAAAAGTTCTTGTTATCCAACCTGTCATTTTTCTTGCAGTTGTGACGGCTACTTTATTGTGTTCTTTAAAGGTAAGGTCTTCCGACATGAGTACACCCAAATCCTTTACATTGCTTTTTCGTTCTATGTTATGATTTGACTGCGTTTTGTACGTGGTTTCCAGTTTTTATATTTTCATTTTTTCCGTAGCACGGGAGCTGGAATTTATCTTCATTAAATACCATATTATTTTCTGTAGCCTGACCATAGAAAGACCTGATTTACATCTGATTTAAATGGGATTAGCTGTGATCTCTGATGTTGGTAGAGATCTCATAAAATT